ACGGCTGTGATCGCGTTTCGGACCTCAGCCTCCGACAGAGGCTCTAAACTAACCATCCATGACTTGTCCTGCCTCACCTGAGTAGGAAGAGGTCCAGCAGCAGGGGCCAGCTGAATTGATCTTGAAAGTGGTCTGCCCAAGGAACCATACGCCACTCTTTATTGTGCATCAGTGCACTCGCCCTGTCTCTGCTTATCTCGCTGACGCCTGGTTTCCTGGGACCAGTGGCGAGGATAAGCTGGAAGGGCTTGCGATAATTACCTACTGTTCCTGCCACCTCCATTTGTTGAGCCCGACTGGTCCACCAAGCTTCTTTGTCAGCATATAGGCTGCGCTTTAGTCGCGCCTATTAGTCCGTCTGGTCAGATGATGCTCAGAGCTAGCCGGGAGTTTTCTTCTGGATTCCAACAGGTTCGCCGTTCTCTCGGATATCCAGTGACTGGTGCGAGGACGATTGATAGTGCCACATGCAGATGCTCCTACGTCGTGCATGGCGGTCGAGATTCTATTCCACTGAAGCTCGGTGTTATTAGAACACGACAGCGAAAGTTCGGTACGCAGTGCGTCTTGATAGACCTGCCTGATCGTGGGCTGAGGTAATTTCTGAGATGCCAATCGGAGGAGACGCTTTGTGCGCCTCCCGGTAAACTTAATGGAAAAACGACGTCGTACTAAGGCATGATCAGATTTGACGCAGGTATTCCAGTACGAGCGGCAATCCAGGATGGAATCACGCCACCTGTAATCTATGGCTAGGTGGTCAATTTAGGTCCATTGCTGGCCAGCTACAGGGGGATGCCAAATGACACTTCGGCGCCCACTGTGTCTAAAAGCAGTGCTACTTAGAAACAACTGGTGCTCTGTACACAGTTGCAGCAGACACTCACTGTTGTCAGTCCTTTCGGAGTTAAGCTCATACTTACCACCCTGCTGAGCTTCTGAAGAGCTCAGACGCCCTACTTGTGCTTTCATATCCCCTGCAAGTACTATGATATGTGAACTAGTAGCACTGCGTAGTGGCGCGTTCAGTTCGTGATAGAATGTGTCCTTGACAGCATTAGAACTTCAGTCGGTGGGAGCATAAACGGAAATCACAGCCAAACAGCGTTTGGTACTACCTCTTGAAGCAATCTTAATTGACGTCGTCAAACAAACTGCATATAAATGGCTGTTAACCGGAATCCAAGCAATTAACATTTACTCAGCCTTGGAGCTTGGAATGAAACCTACACCAGCTTGACGGGTGCGCGTTGCATCGGCGTTTCCGGATACATGCAACGAATAGCGAGAAGGCAAGCCGGGTGCAGTTAATTCAACAATCACATTAAGGTCATTGGTCCTAGTTTGGGACACACAACACATCACTGCCAAGTGTGTCCAAGGTGCGTGCGAGTGCAGCCTATTGACGTATTTGGCTTAGAGTGCGAACGTTGAACGCCGCCATGGAAACGGGTGAGCGTGAACTTTTAAGCGACTGTTGCTGAGAGGCGTCCGATGGGTACTGTGGGAAGGTGGTTGCAGATATTTCTACTCCAGTGGCACTTTGGTTGCTGTCAGCTGAGCTGGAAATTATAGAAGGAATGTTAGTAATGGGAGCCTGGATGGGAGTAAGAGAAACATGTGGAGAAGAAAGAAGGGAGACGCCTGCAGTAGCCTTTTTTTGCTTATCTGTCCTGCTGTATGCAGCAGATAAGGCGACCCTTGATGATCTGCACGACGGACGCTACAGGATGAGGTTTATGTTTGAAGAAAATGTCATGGTTGTATGTGGGCTGAGATACTGTCAGGGCACCCAGACCTAGACAGGAGGACGATTAGGGTCATCATCCAAAGCCTTTGGCTCAAAAGCCTGTCCGCAAAGCAGCGGGGAGGTGGCAATGATTTAGTTTTACCGAAGTGGACGCCATTCCATTTCAAACCCCCAACCTGGAGGACCAGGAGACTGCGAATATCTGACCTATAACCATGGACCGATCTGGTAGGAGTAGCTCTCAAGGTGCCCGGAGGCACCACTGAGTATAGCTCAAGAAGGTACGCAAACTGTCGCACCACGTTAAGATACAGGCTGATTGCGACGGGTTCGACAGTGTACCGTTAGCTCAGACACCCATCTCGATGCAAATGGTCTGAGGACTCCCTTGGAAGGTGACAGGGGCCGGCAATTGTTGGTGGGTATTAGGAAAACGATCATTAGCAATTCCGTATTTGTCATCGAGGTGCCTGCGGAAACAACTTCTCGGTAACGATTTCCTCAAGCGGCTCGGTGCTGCGATTTATTTGAGAAATAATGTTGCGATAGTGGGCAGTGAAACGATCTAGTTGATCACAGAGAAAAGCGACCAGATATCTGCCGTGTCAGTTCTTCCCGAGTGCCCGGAGCGCACACTATGGGATGTGCTACACATGTACGCGCATTTGTTCACGGATACGAATGTTGATTAGGGATTCTGCAACTGGGTAGTATACAGGATACCTCTAATCCTAAGTGGGTGGCGCAAGTCGATTTTCAGGCGGATTTCACAGAACACTCGGAAGGAGATACAGAAGTAAGTGGTTGAGATGGAAGCCAATGGGGTTATCAGGCAAACCAACAGTACGTATTCATCACCAGTATTGCTGACAAAAATGGCGGACGGAAAGTACAGATTCTGCATTGATTTCAGCGAGATACACAAAATGACAGTGACTGATGCATTTCCGATGCTGCAAATGGAAGAAAATTTTGCCAATCTTTACAATGCCAGGCTGAGTTCCTTTACAGATCTCCGTTCGAGATACTGGCAAGTTCCCATCGCAGAAGAAGACCGTCATAAAACCGCTTTCAGTGTGAACCGCCAGCAGTATGAACTTTTTGAATGCCGTTTGGATTGTGCTACGCCCCTGCGACATTCGAAATCCTATTGCTGTTGGTCCTGGAGGCGCAACATGAACGTGGTACCGGAATTGCAGCTGTACTACAATGATTGGAGGTTGCCGGTCTGAAACTTACTCGCAAAAAGTCATGCTCAAAAGTCCATCGTGTGTTTAAGCCACATGGTGGGGAATGGTCAAGTTCGGCCGCTTCCAGAAAAGTACGAAGAATTTCGCTGTCCAGAAACCTAAATATCAGCTCCGGTCGTTCTTCAGAATGGTGGTATATGATTCGAAATTCGTGCCCCCGTGTGCGCAGAAGATCAACCCACTATTAAAGCTGTTGCATAAAAAACCAGTCGTTCGCTTGGACACCTAAAGCAGGTCGGACATTTAACTACCTAAAAGAAAGGGTCGCAGAGGCACCAACATGTTTATCTTTACCAAAGACTAGTGAAAAATTCACCGTAACAGTTGATGCAACCAGCGTTGCAATCGGGGCTGTGATGTTCCAACCAGCCAGTGTGATCGAATACGCCAGCCGAGTGCTAACCAGCGCAGTGCAAATGTACTCCACGACGGAGGAAGATTGCCATGATATCGTGTGAGCCTTAGAGAAATGAAGAACATACTTTCTAGCGACGGAATTTCATGTCATTACTGACCCTAAGCCGCTATCATGGTTAATGACGATGAGAGATCCGTGTGGACAACTTACACGGAGGACGCACCGGCTCCAAGACTTCACCTTTATAATCAAGCACATAGATGGAATGCAGAACATAATACCCGACTTGTTATCGCGCCAATCTCTGGACCAGCTTCTGCCAGATACTGCGATACCGGTGTGTGGTGACAATGCTGAGGGTCGAGAACCACTGACAAGCCAATGTGCAGATTCATTGGTGAGGTTACTCTAGGCTGCTTTCCAGGCCGGGACCAAACCAGAGTTAACATCAGGAGAGATGGAGGAATTCCTCAGGATCGGGGATAAACTTGATGTCGAAACCCTCATCTTGTTGGTGACAACAAGCGGACCAAAAGGGGCTTTTCTTCCCCAGAATCTACTGGGGCGGGTGATGGAAATGGCCCAAGATGGCGCCCATATGGGATTCAAAACAGTCTTCGACCTGCTGCGGAGGCGGATGTTTCGACTCCTTTGGGGTGACATTACGGCCTGCTGTTGACTGGCTGCCGTTTCGAATCCTGGCATTCCCACGCTACTGATAAGTTGTGCAGTAGTGTCTGCCTTCAGCCCAACACAGAATGGCCCATCAAACCTCTACCCATCAAATCACGGTGAGCATACCATACTGCCTTACGGACATTTGACAGTTTCGTGCACTCCCATTTCGAGTCCCCGTCAAAACCAGATTCCTCCATGAAAGGAGTGTGTTTTATACAGGCCATGCACAAGGCTAATGTAGACCGTCAGATGTGCTTTCACAAATTTCACAACAGTTTGGTCATCAGTATATAAAATAAAATGATTACATCCATTGGATTTGTTAACGGAATTCTAATATTTCGGGAAAGCTCGCGGAACCTCTGGAAGTAGTAAGCAGATCACAGTTTGAGAAACACTTCACTACGGTATTGGAACCGCTGTCATTCCTCAATTAGAATCTTTACTCATCAATAAACCTTGTGGATACCAGCTTTCCGTCACAGCCTGTCTGATGATAATGCTCTGTCCTAGGTAAAATAAAATAATAATAATAATAATAATAATAAAAAATCGCCAGCTGTACACCGTAACGGCGCTTCGCTGGCACGGGACCACCGCCCGTCGCGCCTGGGTTGTGTATACCGTGAGGACGCCTTCCTCGACTGCTGAACTACGCCCTTGGAATCCATAGCCTCATGTCCATGATGCACACAAAGAGAGCACCACATAGCGTCATCGTATAGGATCACAGAGCTGAGGCAGTGTGCTGTCGATCCACTTTGTGGTGCAGTCTGTGAAAATCATCCCTGGTGCACAGGCTGCGTACCCATCGAATCTCTAGTCTGACACGTCTTTCGAAGTATTTGTAACTCCGTGTGGATGCAGTCGAGCTACAGTCTGTGAAATAAGTATAGCGTGACGAGTGACAAATCGATAGTTCAAATAGCGTGTACTGAAATCACGTGCTAACTGCGTTGGGATCACTAGCCAAGGGACCTAAAGCCACTCGGAGTACTATGAAGTGCACTGGTTGGACGTAACCATGGATTGTGGAGTGCGCTATGACCAATACTCATCCGGAACATCTTGACGGACGTGTATCGCTCAGATATGCCCTTGTTGAGTATCCTATTATTTTGGCACAGAAGCTGAACAATGAGATAGTTCACGAAATATTGAATGAAACAGACTGTTATTTGGACATACAATCACGTGTGCTCAATCGGCGCCATCGTGCTACTCAGTGGACCAAGGGAACTGTTGTCGAAGTGATCGGAAGGACTGTCAACGATATCGAACGTTGCAACAGTCTGATTGCTAAAGCAGTCCCTTTTTATGCCTCACGAAGACTGATCCACGAGATGGAACAAAACGGTATTGGTCCCAGATTCCATTCATCAAAAACTTCAACATTTATTGACACAGATTTCTCATTCTCTACTCAGGACTTGACAGTGAAACAAGGAATTAGTGGTGCTTCCCAATTAATAGATACCAAGGTTAGTCAAAGTAAAACTGAAGTGGGAGATTTTGAACCGCAACACTCCGAAGCGCCCAAAACCTGTTCACCGGAGACTAAAAATTGCGCCAGCACCCATGGTGACAGTAGAAATGAAAATGAAACATGCGAAGAGAACGGTAGCACGGCGCTAACCTTGGCAGTACCAGATATCAGGCAAGATCAAAACGAGCACAATGTGAACATTGTAGGTCCTTACAAACATTATACATTGGCTTTGGACCCACCGTCGATGAAACCATATGGACAGCCTGCAACTAGTGCTCTAGGGGGGTGTACCAGGCATTCAGGCCTATCACTGAATGACATACATGAATACAAACGTATTGAAAGTTCTTACTTGAAAGATGGCACGCCAAACGAAGAAATTGGTATGCTGAAACATAATAGGGGAATCTTAACACGAAGTAAAGGATTACAAAATGCGCGAGGCAAATCGGTGTCCAAGATAGCCCTATCTAGATTATCTTACTCATCGCGGAAAGCAAGGACTGGTGGACGAAACCAGTCGCACGATGATCCTAATCGAGGTAAATATGTCACTGTAACAGGTGGCAGGTCTGGTCAGCGAGTTCTTTCCTCTGCCACTGAGCCGTCAGCCATTTTGCCAACCATGCGCCTATCGCATACACTGACCCGTACCAAACTGTCTTTTCCCCGAGCCGGACTCAGTATCCAGTTTAGGGATAGACAGGAGGCTACAAGCAGATGTATATCTTCCCGAAATATTGAGTTAACAAGATCTGGTGAGGCAAACTCCCATCATGCTGTGATCTTATGCTCGAGAAAAGCTACTCCGCCACTAGTTAGCATACAGAATACAATAGAAGATATAGCAAGTAGGAATGCTGATGCAAACTTCTTAAGCCATACGGATACAAAATTAAACTTTGCCTTGGCTAGCGGACCAAGTCCAGTAAGCGATGGAACAGCACGCACGATTCCAACCTCAGTTATGCCTTGCAATCATACATTAACACAAGAGGCAATACCTGGACCGATTTCGGATTCACAGGAATGCAGCTTCGGTGCCAGTTCGCGCGGCAGAAAGTCTTCCGTGACTCCCACGGGTCGCCGGTCCGGGATGCAATCGATTCAGTGTGGCCGTAAGCAAGTCTCCTTCATGGAGAAATCCATGCAACACTTTCCTTCACATTCGGACGCGACCAGTAAAGCTAACACGATGGAGCGTGCAGCATCGAGTTTCGTTTCGGTGCAGGGTCTGCTTGAGGGGCCCAGTCGCAAATCGGCCGAGGATAACAGCCCCAATACTCGGTCAAATGCCCGCTCAACGCATGAGTTCATCCAAGCTGAACATGTGGTCGACATTTCCTTTGCTAAATTAATGCCTGAATTCAGTTGTGCGAACATTCCAGGCCTTAGTGTGGCGCCGCATTACCAACCACTATCCAGCACCATGCGTCGTCTTCAGTTAGCCTCGGTGAACAACATTCCAGAGCACAGTGTGGTTATTGACAGGTACTCACTGAGAGATGAACTCCACCCATTAGGCTCCGATCACGATTTCACTTCCACGCATGCATTAAGCGAGGGTTATTTGCAACAACCAGCCAAAATGGTGCAAGTCGACTTCAGTCTATCCGGCCTACTGTCACAGCGAAGGTTGATAAGCCGGGGAGAGAACAGACGCAGTCACTCTATGTCTCGGACTGAACCCTGTGGGGTACGTATCGGCGCTAGATATGCTGCTCCGCCGACGCGAACACCATACAGACAACAGTTAAAAGTGGAACCGATTCAGCCAAGAAAACAACAACAACAACAACAACTGCGACAACGACAGCAACAGAATCAACGTCAATTGCTAAAACTTCAAAGGGGCCGGCCTCAGGTTAAATCATTCCATAAACCAAAAGCGGTTGAACAAAGCGCGCTTCTCACTAGCAAGAGGAAAGCAACCATTAAAAAGTCACATTCCGTGCATTGGATGAGTGAAGGGAAGAGTTACGTCGACATACCACTCACCCGCAGTGAATCTAGAGACAGCCATGCTGTCCGAACAGCACGCAGTCAATTTCGCACAATACTGGCATCACCCAGAAGCGAAGCAGTTGCTAAGACCTCGCGTGTAAGTGTTGTGAGAACCACATCGATGACAAATACTGTGCAAAAGTCTATGGTTGTGCATCGGAAATTTAGTAGCACGATGTGGCAGAAACCTTCGGACGTACTGACTGAAGATGGGAAGAAGGTTTGGTCGAGGAGCGGTAAAGTTGGACCGCAAAGCCACGGTGATAGACCGGGATCAGTCACTTCTCCACGAATGGAATGGTGGATTTCGCATAAGAAAGACCAGGCTGAGTTTGATTCCCCCGACCCAAACTTACCTTGTGAAGTACCTGGTTTGATAGAACCCACCACTTTGCTTCTCAGTTCTCAGTTTGCTGCAACCACCACTGCAAGTGACGATACGATTAAACCCGGTCCCTTATCACAAGAGCCGGTGGCCGTACCTTGCGCCAGAGAGGCAGTGACCACTGAAGTGGACCAACCAGTTCTTGACCAGCATTCAATGGTAGCTGACACGGAGCAACCCCTTGAGATGAATGTGTTCAAGAATGTCCAATCACCCATGCAACGTCAGAAATTGGCAGAAAAACTGAACAAAAAATCATTAACACCTTCCAAATTACCACGACCGAGGACTTCTTCCGTATTGCTTGCCAAAGCTCGTGGTTCCAAAGACACACCCGATCACTATGCATCAGAGTCCAGTGATGCGGAACACAGTGTAAGAAGAGATACTGCGTTGGTGTTCAGCCCGTTTGTACCTAACTTGCTTCCGCCGTCAGTAGATCCGACACCTTCTACCTCCGTGGACGTTTACATGGGCTTGAGATCCCACAACAGTCCCCTGGCCTACGACAGTAATGGCGACATTCCCGAATCATTAGCCGCTTCAAGAAGCAGCGTACTTTCCTCACCAATCAGCGGTTTATCCGATGGCTGCTCCACTCTTGAGACTCCATGTCCTTTGCACGAACAAGGAGTGGTGGTTACCAGCTTAATCACGAAAATAAAGGAAGACCAAGAAGTAGTGCGTAAAAGTGGTAGAGATCCCACCTCTCCAATCACATTACAGCAGCACATATCGGGCACTGAAGCACCTCGCGCAAATGAGCTGGAGAATAATACCAGTGTATGTCAAGAAAGTAGTAGCTCCGAGTGGGAACAAGCCAGAAAGCGGGTGCGTCGTCAACCGCTACTGATCGTTCGCATTTTGGGGAGGTGTGCGCCATGGTTTGGATGCCCTAAACCGGTGTAAGAGGTGGGTCTACATAGCAGTGCCGAACACGAATTTACACATTCTCAGCCACTTAGTAACATGGACAAACTAGAACTCAGTGTTCACGGATGAAGTTCGTAGTGGAGTCTATCACAGCTAGAGAGGGACGGCTACAAATTACTTGTCTTCCCTGCTCAAGGAAATATGGTTGTGCACCGACTTTCATTGGAATCTTTTCTGCTTTTCAGATTCCGATTAACAGAAACAGTCCTCCATAAATCCTCTGAGGACAGTAAATGTCATTGCCAAGTTGTTTCGTCATCTGTCACACATTTTGGCGTCGTTGTGCTTGCACAAACAAGCCCTCAGTCTTGTTTATACTTTGTCTTGTGTTCCAAGCCGTTTATGGTTTTGGCAGCACTCATTTGCTCTAGCTTAGAAGTCGAACTACAGTAGAGTTGACTTTGCTAATGTGGCTGTTCGTGGTATGAGAAGCAGCAACGCACAGGGTTACGTTTGTCGGTTAACCGACAGTTACATTACTTGGGTGCGAATGAGCGGGTTTCGAGTCAGCACTGAGCCAGATGTTTAAAACAAAGATCCCCTAACAAACATTGTTATTCAAGCTGCATATAGGTTACGTTGGCATTCGTTGGCAAAAACCCAAGTTGCATGTGTTGAAAAGCTTGTATTCCCCTCAGTGAACTTGCAGGAACTAGAGTGTTTGGTTAACCTACTAAAAGAGCCACTCTAAGGAACATATATACTCTAGAAGTTGGACGGAGGACGTGTACAGAATCTCGCCTAGAACTGGGGTGATGAGATTCGTCTAGGATGGAAAGAATGCTCGTACTGACAATGGATGAACAGATTGTGCTCTACAGACTTATACACTGAGAAAAATGCCAGTGTGGTTTGTGCAACTTAGAACATAGAGGGATAACACATAAAACCTATGTTCCAACACATATGAGTGTCATATTGGCAATGGAACAATGGAACAATGGTATAATACTAATAAGAAAGCCAAGGCTTGACAAGTCCTGTGGGATGGTTTGTGGGACTAACGTAGTTCAAAAAGTTGCACAAAAGTGAAAAACGCTTCAGTGCACTCGCTATATTATCCACGTTAACACATACGCATGTCCGTCTACCCCGATTTAGTGGGGTTGGTGAGCACAGTGTTTATCCGCGCCATGTCGTCACACAGTGAGTAGAAATCAAATCAAGTAATATAGGTGGTATAAAACCTCATCGAACCGTTTTCTAAAAATGGGTAGCGTGGGCACAGGAAGGACAAAAATCGAAAGAGCTTTCCACGATTGACAAACTCGAAGGAAAAATTAATTCCGGTGGCACTCAAGCCGACTGTATTGGGTGACAAGTTTCAATTCATGACCCCTCAATTCTGTGTTGCAGGTAAGCTTCCGGAGGTGGTGGAAAGCATGGTCAGGGTTATACAAAATCTGGAACGTCAGGATGAGGTCACCCGTAGACGGCGATAACTTCCGCTGTACACTCCCACGGCTTTCAGTCGCTTATGGTATTGCAGGTGGGACAAACCCTTCGCATTGTTTGTTGCCCGTCGCAGTGCGATCTCCAGTGGCACGAGGTCGCGTTTTAACCAGGGTTGCCAAGCCTGGATCTCGTACTCTACATGGGGCCTCAAATACGCATTGAGCATTTGGGGAAGATGGAGGATCGAACAGCCCGAAGGCCCTTTGTAACAGACCAAGATTTTGGTTCGCGGTTTTGGACGCCTTCATGGACTACGCCGAACAGCCTAGATCATGTTGTATCCCCACCTCAACACCCCAAGACGCAGAAACTTCCAGAACAGACAGTCATCCACACGCTTTTCCGAGCATTTGAAAAATTATATGATCTGGAAATTATTTTAAACATCACTCAGTTAGTTACATGTGATATTTCTTGGTCCTGAGTGATGGCAGACTATGGAACAAAAAAGCAGATTGTATTCTGATTAATCACATGTGTCTGTCCATGTACCTTAGCTGAACGCGTGAGACCTTTCGGTAAGAGGCGCACTGTTGAAAGCGCTCTCACCAGTCGATAATAAAACCGCATTTATTTTGTTCATGGCGACCACTCTACATTGGTTGATTTTCGCCTGTTTTAGCCACTGTGAACTAATATTCCGCACGGTCTACTCAACTTTAGTCCATCGGGTACAGTTCGGGGGTACACTGACCATCTACAATGGACACACTTATTGATACGCTACATCGAAAGATCGGCAACCACGTGCTACTCACATCTAAGTACCATCGTTAGTTAAGTTCAGTAGCTACGGTTTGCAATTTGTCAGTATTAGAAAGCCTGACACTGGGGTTGTCGCATGGTATCAAGTCGAAAGCTATGAAAATCGCACCAGCTGATTGCGAACCTTGCTCCTGAGTAGTTGAAAACTGCAGATAACTCTCTGCCGTATTGTTCAATGTAACAATGTAACAGTGCAGTACAGAGAGTAGAAAAGCGTTTTAGTACAAGTTTAATAAGATGGTTAACATGGAAACGACAAATGTAAAAATCAACTGTGTTGATAAAACTGAAGACCGCTTGGAAGAGTCCTTATAGTGGTGCAGCCCATAATGGCAGTATCAGAGGCTAACAGGGGGGGCAACAAGTTTGCTTATGTGTAAAGAAATACAAGGTGTAGAAATCAACCAAGAAGTTACTCACAGCGGCTTACAGATTAGGGGTCCATGCCGTCTAACGTTTGACCCTAGCGCTCATTCACTCCATAAGGAAGGGGTAAAAGTCGAGAGTCCTGTACACAGTTGATACAAGAGGTGCGTATCGTGAAAACTCAGACAAGCAGTTGTATGGAGCTTCCAACGAACAACAGGTAGCTGTCCAGGAAGAATTCTGTATCTGTCACAACGCAGTACGGTACATGCCAGAGTTCCCAGGACACATCTTAGAAATGGTTTCTCCCTGAGCACGTAAGAGTACCCAGAAAGGTGGCAACACAGTCATCTCCGATTGCGTTCAGAAAAGAGGCGTTCAAAGCGGGGCATTTTCAAGAAAATGTGCAGCAACTTACGGTTTTGCTCAAATTGGTTACTCTTCACTCATTCCTTCGCTTCCGGTGTCATGGGGTTCATTGTCTGATCATCAAGAGTTATGAGACGATGTGTTACATGAATGCAAGGCATCGTCCGTTCACAACACTGACCTCCAGTACGATTTGCCCCCAGTTATTCATGTGCCTCGACTAAGATCCCACTGACAAGTTCAATTCAACGTGAGTCGAGGTCGAATTTAGCTTGCACTTCGCTTTCCGTTTCCACAACACATGCTTCAAAGAAGGGACCGTCCAAATTAAACCATATTTACAAAGGAATACTAGGGGAATTGAATGGTATAAGTAGAACTTCATCACAGGCGATCACGTGCGCGGAAAAGCAGTGTACAGCAGTTTCGTCTTTTCGGAAATCGTCAGCAGTGCGCATCCCGTCTGACGCCTGTGGAGCTCCAACCAGCAACTTGACCGTTACCTGTCCGTGGTGAAAACCCCGTGATACGGTGGACGGTAGCGATCACCCTGGCTGTTATTGCATGTGATGTAGCATCGCTAACAATCCACTAACTTGCATATTACTGTCGTGCAGAAGACGGAATATTCCGTCACCAAAGGAACCATGTGTCCCTCCAAATAACCAAATCGGTAAAACCATGTTAATATATATACATACGTCTGCCCTCATATCAAGGTTTATCCAAGCCTGACACCTTGGCAAAAGTGTCACCTCATCGACTGTAAGATCTACAACGTCGGACCACAATGTCAGAAATCTGCGTCAGCTTTTATACTAGCAAGGACATCTAGTGTTTCTTGGCCTTTACTGAAAGCTTCGTACTGACATCATAAGGGCTTACGGTACAACCACAGTAGTGTAAATTTCTCGATAAGTCGAGGAGTGGTCTTCCTGGTAAGGTCTCGTCACTGATCATATTGTTAAGTCAAAAAAGGCTCAGATAAGATAATATAAACGCTGCAAAAAGCTAAAATTGGTAGTAAGCCTCAGTCGCAGTTACATACGTGCACACAACAACTACAGGGAAATTCTAAATTTTGTTGCAAGTATCTATCGACCATGAGCACCAACGATAAGTGCTAGCCTCTGTTTGCCTTGGTAGTCACCATCGATTGAATGTTCTTCATGTTTCGGTCTTCACAAACAAAGCATTCCCACAGAAATTGTCCTCAGTGAAGGTAATGAGAGAAAGGAGAAATCATAATGATCAACAATTTGGTTCGAAAAGAATGCAATAAGTATAGTGATAATATGCAATGTGTCGGGTCACAGTAGCTTGGGTACTATAAACAGGGACAAGTTGACTCTTACTGACTAAGTAAATGTTACAATACGTTCATACTGTTCATACTGTACTGCACAACAGCTCGTGGTGGACGCACGCAATGTAATTTACAAGGATTTACGTTTAAAACAAAAGTTTAGGGATCATTACATGGAACTACAATCATTGATGCGTTTATTATTTGTGCATATATCAGTGATTTGGATAAAGCTGTTGATGATTAAAAGGATAAACATTTGAAGTCTCGGATCAAGTGAACATGAAGAAGCACAGATAAGTGTGTGCTAATCAAAGATGGGAGAAGTGGAACAATTTTAACAGCAAAACGATACGAAAGGAATGTGGGGTTTCAAACCGTTTCTAAATTAATTGCGCATACACAACTATGAAGGCTGTTTGTACAGATACCAGTGGCGGTTAGAACAACGCAACGAAAGCGAGCGACAGATATGAGGGGTAGGTGTTAAAGATGCTGTCTACGCACGACATATTTTAGCTGAGGCTCCGTTGTCGACTCCAGACTAAATCAGCGTCAGACATTTTGCGTGGAACAGGACAACGGGAGTCAGTCAAGGGACCATGTCAGCCCAGAGGTTGAAAGGGACTGAGGTGGGTTGGGATATTAGAGGACAAACACAAATACACCGCCAGCTACTGATGGTCGGTCAGATCAATGAGTTAAGTTATATCTAACTGCAACTGAGTAAGCATTGCAGCCTTTAGGCTACCGTTGGAAATTTGTTTTCATCCTGGTATACTAACCATTGGACATAATCCTCAATTCAAAAGTGAATGATACACACTTGACAAGCTGTGCATAATAATCGCAGAGTGACCACAACTACCGACACTCTGTTATCTGAAGTATGGAACAATGAAAGCAGAATGACAGGCATGTATACTTGTCTTCCTCAAGAGGAACAGCGTAAGTTGCAATCGTGTAAATCATTTGATATACTGTCGTTCGGTCACCAACCTTGATATTTATCGGGATTTACAAAGTATTGGCCTGTCTACCCTTAGCGTACCGCTGCATCATCGAAACTGTGTTTCATATCGGTGAACACAAGGTTGTGGTGACTGAAGCTGCTGTTTCAAGACCACGAGTAGTCAACATCCGCTGATTACCATCCGCGGAACAATTTCACTCGGACTTTGCTGTATCACTATAAATGTGTCACACTACAGGACGTCCGATCGTGAACTGAACTGAGGTATGCAGTAGCTGTCAGATGCATAGCTCTGTGATGAGATTAGGTAAGAAAAGTAATCGGGAAATGACCAAAGGTGCAAGGTCAACTTACAAAATATGAAGATTGTTAATTCAAGTGAGAAAATTAGATAAATTAGTAGGATAGGCAGCAGGCGTGACACCCCTACGCCCAGGGCAGCCGTGGGCTTACGAACAACTGTTTCTGCACACAGAGTGCGGGTTTCATACGGACGGTCGCGACTACCTCTGCGAAACGTAGGAAATGGGGTTCGCATGTCTTAACACGATTGCAAACATTTTGGCGGGATCAAACTGATGACAGGTGGCCAATAAATGTCTACGTATGGATGAAGCAGGTGGCTTATGTGAACAGATGGTATGAGCAACCGACGACTGGGTGATTTGACGCTGCAACCATTTAGGTACATGTACCTTTATTCGGGAGTTCAACGATCTATTGGTACGGATGACGTAGTGCATACCATAACTACAAGTAAATTGGCAAATATAATAATAATAATAATAATAATAATAATAATAATAATAGGTATATTTCTCTTGATGAGAGCAACTGTGTCTATAGCGGCACAGATCAATTTGTACAGAAGAATCCATGCTCTTGCATGGGTGACATGCATAGGTGGAGTATTGGGATATGCGTTTCATGTATTAACATTCTGCCGGATGGTTAAGGCTAAAGCCTAGTTATGAAAACATTGGTGTTTATGTGTTTTTGAGCCTCTCTTGGAATAGCTCATCGGGGGATTTCCCCATGTGAATATAGAACTTAGGTTAGTTAGATCAAGGTAATTGGCGAGACTGCTACTAAATGTTGCCACATTGTCACATGACCTGAGTGTTATTGGTAGTTTATTTCACAGATAGCTGTATCTGACCAGGAAGAAATTAGAGCAGACGTTCGCTCAAGCCTTCGGTATATTCAGTATAGAATCTTTGTTGCGAAGCACTTGAGTTGAGCCATGTTGTAAATTGCGTGTAGGCAGGTTACAATAGGTGTTTTTGTGTAGTATGTTGAAAAGCAGCAACAAGTTGTGCTTCAATCGTCGAATCCAAAGTGGTTCGCGATGAAGTTCTTTGCAACATTTTCGATAACTCACAGCAGTGTTTACCAATCAGGTGTTTAGTAAATGACCTCTGCAGGTTCTCCACAGCAATTCCGCGACTCTTTCTCATATTTCCGTATATTATGTGAGTTGGCGCAAATAGGTTGTCTTTCCGTCATTGTGGTAACAACTGAAAACATTAATGCTCGGAATATGTTACAAATCCCATCTGGTAAGCTAAACCTCTTGTTCATATAGGCGCAGTTTGAAAATTTTTATGACCAGTTAACAGGATTACAGACGTCTAGTCCAGATATGTCAAACTGGTTTAGGAACAAACTAAGTGCTATTGCTCATGAAGTCACAATGACGCCAGTGCGTGTGAAGTGTTTGCTTACAAGCCGTCAACTTTGTGCACTACAAGAGCTGAGGACGAAGCGTATGATTGTACTTAAGCCATACAAAGGCTCAGGAG